ATAAGTTTGTTATTAAAATGAAATTAAGTCTGTATTTTAATATTTGAATTTACAATGAAATCTTAAATTTTGTTATACAATTAGTAGTCACTTCCTTTGCAAAAATTTGCAAGCGTTGTCTATCATAATATTTGAATTTTACAACAAAATATACAGTAATTTTGTTATTAAAATTAAATTAAATTTTAATTTTAATATTTGAATTTACAATTAAATACACAATAGTAGAGAATTAAATTAAATTCAATATTTAAACCAAAATTTAGCAACAAATTTTAATTAAATCCAAATTTATTATGAGGAATAGAAAAAGGTTTTAAGGTTTAGTGCCCAAAATTCTACCACCTCAAAGTTTGGTGAGTAATATGAGACGCTAAGCATTCAAATACATTTTTCAAAGTTTAGTGGTCAAAATTCGACCATCCCAAAGTTTAACGGTGTGACATGACACCATGTGTGCATTCATCAGTGACGTCACCAATTTCGTTAGAGATTTTATACAAAAGTTATATCATTGAGTAATGTTCAATATTTTCCAAAGTTCAATTTGCAAACCTCAACATTTTAAACTTCAATAAGCAATTAAAGATACATACATAAATTCAGTGATTATTGAAACAATGAACCCCAAATATAAAAGTGGTGAGAATGTAATAAAATGTAATATTTTATTGAATGCACTTTACGTGGTCAAATATCTGAGGCAAAAATGCTACAGGAAAATATCTTCGGCCGATCCCAACGGCTTAGCAAATTAAAGTGAGCCGTTTCCGACGAATTGGCAGAATTAACTGATGGCTCGCGCCGGCTGAGAGTTGAGCCGATTAAGAAAAGGATAAAAAAATAACTAATGGATAATGATGATTAAAAAATCGACTTAATTAGGTACATTAAATAGATTGTTTGGCTAATTATGTTGCCACGAACCCACTTGCTCAACCAGAGATGGGCATGTTCGGCTCCCTTTCATCCACGTCATTTGTAAGTTCAAATTCTCTTGGTTAATTTCAACAATCATGCAATATGTAATGTACGTCATCCTTCCCATATTTTTTTTTTTTACACTTTGTCACGTGATAACATACCATTGAACAGTTAAAAAAAAAATTTAATTTTCCTTCAATCATTTTTTTAAAACGTCAAACTATATAGCATTTTTGTAATTTCAATCTATGACTCCATTTTCTTATTTTTTGTAGAATTTTTTTGAATTTTTTTCTTCAAAAACTTTTCTAATTAGATGGAATATATTTAAAAAATTATTCAAACATAATTAAATGTAACTTTTAACTTTTCAAAAGTTAAATAAAGTCCAAGTATTAAATGTGTGGTCAAATATAATTAGCAGAATTTATTTTTTTAAAAATAACTTTTAAGTACAATTTGGGATTGCAAAAGTTGATTCCCATTCACTGAATAAGATTGAGATACTTTGCCCATCGAGGTGGCAAGACAACACCTCATCAATGAGATCTAAAATATCGATGAGGTGACAACACCACGAAAGATATCTCTTGCTTAATATGGATAAGAGATGAGTCATACTATTGTGCTGTTATTAGGTCTCACTCGTCTAATAAAAGTCAACAATAACGATTAATTTTTCAATTTTAATCCGATTTTAATATCTACCAAACAAGATTTAAATGGAAATCCTTTCATAATAAAATTAGTTGAGTCAAAGACGTGTGAGCAGAGATATTTAGCCCCCATTAAAATTATAATTCATTTTTCTCTCTCTCTTCTTATCAACCACATATTCTCTAATAAAATAATATTACACTTAATCCCAAAATCTTTTCTTCTTTTTAAACTACACAGTTTTCAAAATTACAAATAATGGGGGCCAAACGGGGGCTTATTCTTTCAATCTTGTAGCACACCACACAAGATGCACAATTGCACATGCTCATTTCAAATAAAGAGCTTGTTTGGTAATACTAAAAATTCAATTAAAATTGAAAATATAGTCATTATTGGGTCCCACTCGTCTAATAAAAGTCAACAATAACGGCTAATTTTTCAATTTTAATCCAATTTTAATCTCGACCAAACAAGCTCATATTCTAGAAGCTCTGCACTAGTTCAAAAAAGTGAATTATTGGGTCCCGCTCGTCTAATAAAAGTCAACAATAACCGCTAATTTTTCAATTTTAATATGATTTTAATCCCCACACAATAAATTTCAACAATAATCTTGCAGCACACCACACAAGATGCACAATTTTAATATGATTTTAATCGATTATGGACCTGCTAACTAGAAAATGCTTTGAAATGGATTGACTACCTTTAGGTCCGTTTGATTGTAAGGATGTAATTTAGGTGAAAGGAAAAATAATTTCAGAGAATTGAATTGCATATAACTTGTTTTATTGGGAATTGTCAATTAATTGTGTTTGATTTGTATAATTTTTCACCTGAAAAATATTGAAATTTTGGATATTTTGGTGTTCGTTTAAATTTGTTCTCTATGAAAATTGTTCATTAAAGGGATATAATTTGTTACAATTGGGGATATAATTTGTTTCCATTTAAAAAAAAAAAAAAGTTGCATAGAAAATATTTTATCACCAAACCTATGCGAAAAATTTTTCCTCAAAAATCAAGAAAATGTGGAAAACAAATTTCATGAAAAATTTAGCCAATCAAACATGCAAAAATGTGGAAATGAATTTTATTTTCCATCTTCCATGAAAAATTTCTTCCAATCAAACAGGGTCTTACTGTCGGTAAAACTACTTGCTCATACTAAATTAGCAATTTTGACACTTTGCTTGAGTCCTCGACTCATTTTGATTACAGGTACATATGACATCATCCACGAGGAGATGACAAAAAACATAGTCATTATATTTAAAATTTTTAAAATATAGATTGATTGTATCAGAAAAATTGGGTGAAAAACAAAATTCAAAATTTGATACATTGCACCTATCCTACTCTAATGAGGCTGGAATTTGGTAACTTTCATTGAATAGGTAAGTATGAGGTCAATCGAATTCAAAGCTTTAAATACCTAACAGAGATCAACTTCATGCCATTCGGGTTTTGATGAAAATGTTTTCCCGTCTTTTTGGTGAGAAATTATTTTTCCGATAGGCTGGAATTTTTTTTTTTGGGTAATGGAAACAAATGTCATAACTAATGGTAAAAAAAAAAATTCACTTTAATCGACAATTTTCATGTAAAACAAAGTCAAACGAACACTAAACTTTGATTAAAAAAAATGATTTTTTAGAAAATAATTTTTTTTCCTTTTTTTTTTTTTTACTTTTTGGTAATGGAAACAAATTTTATAACCANTTTTGATAATGGAAACAAATTTTATAACCAATTGTGGAAAAAAAAATCACTTTAATGGACAATTTCCATGTAAAACAAAGCCAAACGAATAGAAAATTTAAAAAAATTTCACGTGGAAAATTATACCAATCAAACACACTTGAAATCATTTTCCCTGTAAAACATTTTCTAGACAAATTTTTTCCTTATAAAACATTTTATTTCCACTCTTACAATCAAAAGCACCCTTAGTTCAATGAATTACTTCTTTCCACATGAGACAATGGATGAGCAATATAATAAATTCTATTAAGATCTTTCATCTTTGAAGTGCATTGGAACAATATTAATTTATCGAATTGTTAAGGGGCCCTGTTTAGTTTGTTTTCCAATTCTGAGTTTTGAGTTCATTTTGAATTTTATCTTTTAAGGGTCTATTTTAAAATTGTTAAAAAAACGTATTAGGTTTATTATTTTGAAAATCCATTTCTCAAAATAAAAAACTAGAAAACACGTTTAATTTGAACAATTGAAAAATTGATTTTATTACATTTTATTCCATGAAATTTGATTATTCAATAAAATAGAACAATTTTATGTTAACATATTATCGAGTGATATATATTTTTAAAGTTGATGAATCTTATAATATTTTATTCTCACTACAAACGTAAATAATAATAATAATAAAAAAAATTAATGATTAGGATTGAGAATATTTTCATCTTTGTTCATTTAAATACATATTTTTAAATTTTTTATGTAAATAATCATTAAAAGCTTGAAATATTTTTATAATTTTATTCTTTCAATTTTTTCAAAATTTTAATTTTTTTAGAATTTTCTTCAATTTATTAATTTTTTTATTTATATTGAACTTATTTTTTTCAGAGTTTTTTAATTTAAAAATTCTATTTTTTTTTGAATTTTATTTAAATTAAATGTTTGTTTTCCATAGTGTTTTCAAAATTTTCACTGAAAACATTCCAAACGTCATAAATGCATTTTATATTTTATTTTATAAATTTAAAATTGTTTTCAAAAATGCATTTTCATAAATATCAAAACAAAAAAAGTTTACATTATTTTGGAAAACTAAAAACAGTTTAAAAAAAGAAAATCAAACGCACCCTAAAGTTTTTCTCTAGTTGTGAAAATATAAAATATCCGAGCCATACGAGAATTAAGTTATTGAAACTTTGAATTATCTCGATCAAATTCAAACTGGAATTTGAGTTTGGATGCGAAGAGAAATGTCCTCAGTGTATATAGTAATTTTGAAGAGAGTGGGGATCCTTAGGCTGTGGGTGGACACTTCTTCTCTTAAAAATGGGTCACATATTTTTGAAGGGTTTTTCCCCATGAACAAAAAGAAACCCATCAGAATTTGGCCAGAATATACACAAATGAGCGGGACCCACCATGTATTTAAAAAAAAATTCACGGGACCCACAAATGTGTGTATTATGGTGAAATTCTGTGGCCTTCTATCTGTACATTCAATCCTTCTCTTTTTGAAATGATTATTTGACGGAAGGCTATGGGTAAATAATACTTCCCTAAGTTCCCTAAAAAAGAAAGGGTCACAAACCTTTCAAGTGATTTCTTGACTGAATGTCGAGCAATATCCATCTCTCTGTCCTTGCACCCACCTAAAAAGACACTCAGGACCTAAATGAAACAAAAAAATAAAAAAAATTTAAAGGGTCCCAAGAATGACAAATGGTAATGTTTGGGGGCTGGGGTGAAAATTTTCCAAATTTTATTTATGCTATCAAAACGTTAAAGAAAATTGCATTGTTAGTATCTAACTTATCATTTTAATTGTAAGTTGGCTCCTGATATTTTGCTATTATTGTACAACGAGTCCTAAAGTTTTCACTTAATTATCGTGTCACAAAACTATTTCACTTTCAAATTTCTGGATAGTAATCTAAATTAGGCATCAAAACATCCTGTTTGTCTTCCAATTTTCCAAAACATCGTTCGTTACAATAAGATTCTCCACCACACATTCACCCAATAAAATATTCTACACAAAAATCAATAAAGTTACTTTAAATTTCAACCACACATTCTCCAAAAAATACTATTTATTGCTCCATTTCTTCTACAATAATGGGAGACAAATGCAAACATAACTTTACAAAGTTAGAGCCCGTTTGATAGAGACTCTTACTTTTTGTAAAAGAGTTTTGAAAAATTGAAAATAGAAAACGACTTGAAAATAGTAAAGAGAACATACCCTTGCTTTTTGTAGAAGAGTTTTTCCTGATAAATAGACTGATTTTCTTCAAAAGTTCTCATAATGAGACAAAATATTTCAAAAAATTATATAAACATATTGAACATCAACTTTTTTATTCTAAAAACCAACTTTTATCTTGTCGAAAATCCTACAAAATGGACCCTTAAACATGCAAGAATTATCGGTATTCCTTATGAGATCAATTTGTTAGTTTATAAAAGTCAGAAGCCAAACTTGCTATCTTGGAGAGCCGTAGTGCAATTCTCTCAAAATTAGAACCGAGCAGTTCTTTCCCTGCACGGGTGAAACGAGTGCTTTGGATCGGCTCTATTGACACCAATAGTTATCTATAAAATGAACAAACTATAATCCAAGCAATTAAAGTAATCGAACTATAATTCTACTTGGATTCTGCGTAGATTCAACCGAATCGGTGCCATCAGATTTTCGCCTCCAAACCCGTTTCATTATCTGTTGTGGTCTTGCCAGAGGTAAAACTTAATCACCCAGCCTTTTTCTATCAGATTTAGAAGATTTCTCATCCGAAATGCACCAATATATATTGTGATATGTTATTTTTTTTATTGAAGATTATGGTTTTTAATTTGATGATCGGACCATCTCAGATCTGGTTATGATTGTCGGTTACTTTCAATGTTAGTGATTTTGTATTTATTAGAGATTTGGCCGTCTTTTTGTCTTATTGTTAAGAAAATATAGTTAAAAAATTGTGTTGGGCTGTTGATTAGAGACTCAGCTCAAGCACGGCAGAAGAGTTGAACTTTTAGTGTAAAGTTTATCCTCAACTTATGTTTTCTTTCGTTTAATCTGCTGCATTTTTCGCGATGATTAAAAATGTTGAGTAACTATGAGCCCGGGCATTCAATTGAGCACCTGTTGAGCTATAGCTTCCTGGTTTTAACTTGATAGATTTTTTAGCACTTGTCCACCGGATTTTTGAGGCACAAGTTTGTGGCGGTGCTGCAAGCTAATAAAACCAGGATTTGAAATAGGGGAAATTAAGGCATTTTACAAGGAATGTTATTTCGACAACCTGAAGAAATGGATTCAAAGTTGCCTGTTTCTTTTCACTTCGTGGGTGGATGTGTTTAGTGTGGCTTTATAGGGGTTTTAGAGGGGAGATAAGAAAAATTAAATTTTACTTTGTGGTTTTCCCCTGTACCTACTCATTGAAAGAAAAAAAACTACTCCATGTTCCCTTACTCCTTTACTTTCTCTCTCTGCATTATTATGGCTGCCTAAAGAAGCGCGTGCTAGTATTTCTTGCATGATTTCATGTGTGGGTTTTGGTCCTTTCGATAATAGACATTTCACCTAATCCAAGTATTTTATCCAATTTGTAGGATTCTTAAGTTGATTTTTCATGGAGGGTCTTGGAGATGATGGTGCCTCAACAGCAGCTTCGGCGCTGAACCAACGGAGGCATGAAGCATCAAAGCTTTTCCAGCACTATCTAGATAAATCTACCCCGCATGCTCTCTACCGTTGGATTGGAACCTTTGTTTTAGTATTTTTTTATACTCTGCGGGTTTACTATGTTCAAGGGTTCTACATTGTTTCTTATGGTTTGGGAATCTATATTCTGAATTTGCTCATTGGGTTTCTGTCACCTCTTGATGACCCCGAGCTGGAACCTTCCGATGGACCTATGCTGCCAACAAAAGGTTCGGATGAATTCAAGCCTTTCATTCGCCGCCTCCCAGAGTTCAAATTCTGGTACTGTTTATAACATTCTTGAAATTCTTGTTCATTGTTTTTCCATTGTGAAGTTTGACTCTAATTTTTTGATTTTAATGTCTTGATCAGTCGTGGAACATTATGTTGCTTCAAGTTTATTGTCTTTTACCACTATTTCTTGTTTGGTTCCTCCTGCTTGTAACTGTTACAGTGATTCTTTTCATTTTATATTTGGTTGCTTGGGAGAACCGTTATTGGCTTCCCTAGGTACTGGTATGTAGAAAGTTAAAGAGAACAGTGATTGAATTTCTGATGTGGCATGGGAAATCAATCTATTTGATCTTAATTGGATTGCGTCCTTGTTATCCTGTGAATTTCTGTGATGGTTTTAATAAGATATTGAAACAGTTACGTTTTGATGACTTAATGATTGCTAAGGGATATTGATGGTGATGCGATATCAAATCTTGAATGGTCTACCTGCTTAATGGCTTTCTTCTAACTCCTTTTTGATTAGGGTTTCCCTTCTTTATCAACTTGCATACCGATGTTTTTTGCTGGCATATGTTATTGTTTTCTGTTAAATTTTGTACACTACTTCATTTTCTCATTATCAGGTGTACTATGTTTTAACGCTTAAATTTATTTTATGTGCATGTGGTGGGCTTTCATCACTATTGCGTGTATAATATACCTATACATATTTGTGGCAAAGCTTCTTAAAATACTGCACCAAATTTCAACTCTTCAACCTAGGAAATATTGATAAGACTGCAGTTTGCACTGCTTGCATATTAAAACAGTTGCTGTCAGCCTACCATTGTTGATTGATACTTAAAATGAACATTGTAATAAGAAAAGAGGTTGAATATTTCCTTGTAAACCTTTTCATTAAGGGCTCATCTTCTACAAGGGTATCAAATGCCATTTCTCTCATATGATGCCAATATAGCAGCATAGCGGGGGTCAAACCATGTTAATTGGAAGTTCCGCGATGTGGTAAAGTGTCTCAGTATCTATTTTCCACATGGGTCAAATTATTTGTCTTGTTTTTGTGGTTCCAGGTATGCCATCACAAAGGCTTTCTGTGTAGCATTTTTGATGACCTTCTTTTCCATGTTCGATGTTCCTGTCTTTTGGCCCATATTGTTGTGCTACTGGATTGTTCTTTTTGTACTTACAATGAAGCGCCAAATCATGCATATGATCAAGTACAAATATATCCCGTTTAATCTTGGAAAGCAGGTGAGCTTAAGAAATTTTCAGCTTATCTTAAAAATGACATCCTAGAAATGGGTGTGCGGTAGTAGTTGAGGCAGCTCGTCTTGCTAATCTGCTGTTGGGGTTTCTTATTGGTTACGATTTTTTCTTGTTTTATAATAGAAATACGGTGGGAAAAAAGCATCTGCCAGTTCCCGTAGCAGCCCCCGAGCAGACTGAAGTTCTGCTGGTAATAACCCAAATGAAGTTAATCCGAAGGAACTTGGAGGAGGAGGTGGGGAGAGGAGCGCGAAAAAGAGATGGAAAGTCAGTAGCACCGGTAAAGATTCGTGGTTAATGATTTGTATTTACATCAAAACGAACCTGAATACGGAATTAAAAGCACGTTTGAATTGTACACCATTATTTTGATTGTGGCAGCTAGACTGTATGCAGGAAAGTAGTTAAACTTTGTTCTTGAAATATGCTCCATGGAAGATTGAAATTGTCTCTGTTTCCAGCTTTCAATATATTATCAAATAAAAGTAATTCATATTAAAACACAATAATTCACTAATTTATCTACTTTTACGCTTATTAGCCAAACTTGCTCTTGTATTGTGGTCTTAACTTAAAATAAATTAAGTTTACTTTTAATTAAATAAGTTATAAAAAAAATAATTTTTTCCTTGGTTAAAGTTGAAAATAAGTTGTTTATTTTGAAATAAACTCGAACTTTACTCTTAAATATTTATTTTACTTGTAAGAAAGAAAGAAGAGGATATCTAAACATGTTTGGAAACAAAAAAATTATTCAAGCTTAGCCAAACTCATTCTGAGAGTGATCTTGCTATTATTGTTATTATGTTGATCTCAAGAAACAGCCTATGAAGGATCTTGAAGTAGGACAAGATATTGAAATGGGGAGACTCGATCCTGCGGACGAAATGAACCTCTCGAAGTACTTTGAGGAGGTGAATGCAATCAAGGCCGACATGAAGGAGATCACCAATCTTCTTCTCGACCTTCAAGATGTCAATGAAGAAATGAAATCCACGCAAAGTTATAAAATTCTTTTATCCTTGAGGATCGGACTAGTTTTGACATGATCACAGTTCTCAAAAGGTGAGAATCATCAAAACAAGACTGAAACTGCTTGATAAAGCCAATGTGACTACTCATAATGTAACGACTTTAGTTATAACATCTTTCATTTAAATAATATTACACATAAATTCAAAATAATTTATTCTATTTCAACCACACATTCTTAAAAATAAAACAAAAATCTAAAAATTATAATCTCAAATAATGACAAATAATGGTGGCCAAAAGGGACATTATGTCTTAACACAAAAAGTCCACCGCCATATTCTTTTTTGCTAGAGAAGAACGTCACAATTCAACAGGGTCTTCTGTAATGAACCTCTCGAAGTAGGACAGGATATTGAAATGGGACAAGATATTGAAATGGGGAGACTTGATACCACAGACGAAATGAACCTCTCGAAGTAAATTGAAGAGGTGAATGCAATCAAGGCCGACATGGAGGAGATTACCAATCTTCTTCTCGACCTTCAAGATGTCAATGAAGAAATGAAATCCACGCAAAGTTATAAAATTCTTTTAACCTTGAGGATCGGACTAGTTTTGACATGATCATAGTTCTCAAAAGGCGAAAATCATCAAAATAAGACTGAAACTGCTCGATAAAGCCAATGTGACTAATCTTAATGTAACGACTTTAGTTATAACGTCTATATTTCAACAACACATTCTTAAAAATAAAACAAAAATCTAAAAACTATAATCTCAAAGGCAAATAATGGTGGCCGAAAGGGGCATTATGTCTTGACACAAAAAGTCCACCGCCAGAAGTTGAATGCAATGACTTTACTCCGAACCTATTACTAAAACCTCTACTTGTTCCCCAAGCAAAAGGGTAAAAAAAAAATCAAATGGGTTGGGAGTGAAGTCAATGCATTCAACTTATTTTTATTTTTCTCGATTTCATTAGAAAATTCTCCGTTTGCTTCGAGCACTCTCAGAACAATTCATTTACGGTATGTCAATTTCTTACTCATTGAATGCCATCCAGTTGATAATTTAATGAAATTCCTGATCAATTAAATGCTGATTTTTTAGGTTTTGGTTTTATACAATTGTGTTTTTATCAATTTTATGCATGTATTAGGAAATAGGAAGAAAAGAGGAAGAAAAAGGCGTCTTTTGCATAGTCTTTGATTGTTTTGATCAAATTTTTGGGACATTTCATCAAGCAACTGATGTGCATGTTCTTTTTAACTGGAATAGAATTAGGATTTCTTATTCTCAACATAATCTACATTATCAGACATGCTTCGAGGTCTTTGCTACTCTGGAAGGTTAATTTCATCTTCTATTTCTCGTTTTATGTATTTTGGCAGGTTCCCTTTTTTTTTTGTGAGATCTTGTATTAAATTCTGGGGATGGAACAACTGGAAAAATTTCCCTGGATAATACCTTTCTTCCACACATACACTCGATAGCAATCATATGTGTCTATGCAAGCAACTTTTAAATGCGATTTACTTTCTCAAAAATTGATCCATTTAGTATGTACTGTGTCTTGGCAGGAATTTTTTTTTTTTGTATATAAACCTCAATGTGATGATTTCTTGTGTAAACAAGGAGATGGGCATTTAAAGTTTCTTGTTGTCTGTACTCGCTCTTTCTGCTCTTTGAGCACATGCCTACACCAAATGGAATTTTCTGTTCTTTTTGAACTTTGAAGTGACTTGAGTTTTTAATCTCTTCATAGTCAGCGGATTATTGGTGCAGTAAATGGTTCTCTAGTATTTGGCTTCATAGCATCCTTCGCAACTCTTGTGGTAATTACCATCCTTCTTCAATGTTATTGCTAGATGCTTGTAATTATCCATAGAATTCATCAGAAAGATTTGTTGGGTACAAGCAGTTCAGTTTAAATTTCTTGAGGAATTTGTTTGGAATTGTTTTAACTTAGCAGTCTTCATCATAAGACGAAGGTTTGGTAATTGAGTCGATTATTGTTGCCATTGCCATTGCTTGTAGCGCTGGATTTACATATTGTTAGGAAATATACAGCATAATGCAGACACCAAACTGAGGCTGGCCTAGTTCAATATCCAATAACCGAATTCAACAGTTCAATCATGCAATGACAGAGTTCAATAACCAACAGACTTCCCTATGAAATAAACAACAGATTCAGCAATCACAAGAATCTCCAGCATACATTAGCATATATATTGCAGAAGTCATAAGAATATATAGAAGTTGAAAACTGAAAGCATAAATCGAGACAAAAAAGGGCAGAACTCTACTTCCCTTCCTGCGTCTTCCCTTCTTCACTGGCCGAAGTGTTTAGGCTCAGGAACAGCCTTCCACGCTATGCAAATCATCGTCCATAGAGAGTGCAAGAACCAGCCAAAACCAACCAACACTTGGTTTGGATCATCGACCAATCGGTCTACCAATAGCAACCAAGATCGAGCCCTAAATCGAACTTAAACCCCTTAAGAAACCAACATCACCCAGTCCCTATTTAGACCCAAGTGTATAAAGGTATTTCTCACAAAATAAGCTTAAGGATTGGCTTCATGGAACGCCTAGATGAAGAGGAAGAGAGACGAATCAGAGAGCTTTCTCGAAGAAGAGGGAAGAGGAAGTATCTGTAGGAAGCCAAACCCACGTGAAATATAGAGACTAAAAGTTAAACCATGAGAAAATATCTCCCAAGAATTAATCTCAACCATTCAATTTATCCAAAGGCCAAAATTGAAAGTAGCACAAACCGGGTCAGCCCATTGGGGTAGGAGAACCACAAAAGCCCACGTTCTTCACCTTGGTTCTCATAACACATTCTCTCGGTTGCGAATTTGCACATGGAAGAACTGTTTATCATCATCGCCCACTTCCTGCAAGAAAAAATTAACCAGTAACAATATGCAGTAAAGATAAGTATAATTTAAATTTACGTGCAAGCAGATTTTATGTTCCCACATCAGAGGGATTCCTATCTGTGTGAATCTTAACAAGTTCGACTT